GGCGGGAAGCATGGGACCGCACGGGCTGGGGACGGCGCTGAGGGTGTCTGTGCTACCCACAGGGCCCCCGGGGGACCTCCTGAAGGTGGCGGGGCAGCTGAGACTGCCGCCCGTGGACCCGCCGCCTGCCCAGGCAGTGGTCTTGCTGGTGCAGTACGCGGCAGGGCTGGGCGTCACCCTGACCTTCCGCCAGGACCCACCGGCAGGTGAAGTGGGGACGGGGGCGGGGACTGGGAGAGAAGGGCAGCGTCTCCAGCTGGATTCCAGGCCTCACGGGTGGCCTGCTGAACCCAGGGGACACAAGGCAAAGACAGGGAGTTAGGCCTGAGCCTGGGACCTTCAGGGAGACCTTGGGGTCACAGGGTCCACCAAACATCCCAGACAGACATTATCTTCTGCACACTTTTATTTATTTATTTTTGAGTTAGGGTCTTGATATGCAGTTCAGGGTGGCCTTGAACTCACTGTGTAGCCCAGGCTGGTCTCAAACTTGCAATGATCCTCCTGCCTCGGCCTCCCAAGTGCTGGGATTATAGGGGTGTGCCACCCAGCATGTGCACGCTGTTTTAAAGGTCCAGTTATATGCAGTTACCATTGCCACACCAGTATAGGAGTTTCCTGAAGGACGCCTGACCCCTGACTTAAAAATATTGTACACAATTTGCTAAGGGCAGTACTGTATTGTACACACCATGCAAGAATAATCATGGCCAGTCCTTTTCTCTTTCTGAGTACAACCCCTAGCCTTCCAACTCAAACAGAGCTCCAGTGTGAAAATTTCAGACCCCATACTCTGTACTCCTAGACACATTAGTACGTTTTTGTTTGTTTGTGTGTTTGTTTTTTGGTACCAGGGATCGAACTCAGGTCTTTGCACTTGGGAGGCAGGTGTCAGGACCACTGAGCTAAATCCCCAGCCCCCTTAGTACATATTTCTTAAAGACATGCTGCAGAACTGCAATGCAGTGATCAAGTTGTGGGAGTTTAATAAATGTCATCATCTGGTTGCCATTCATAATCACTCCTGTTTCCCTTTTTCCTTTCCTTTCCCTGTCGTCACTGTTTTGTGGTACTGAGGATTGAACCTTGGGCCATCACACTGAGCTACATCCCCAGCCCTTTTGAAAGTTTTAATTGAGACAGGCACTTGCTATGCCAGCAAGTCACCCTGGCGGGGCTCAAATTTGTGATCTCCGTGCTTCAGCCCCCCCGAGTGCTGGGATTACAGGTGTGTTTCACCACACCCGTTCTCACATTCACATTGTCCCAGTTGGTACCAGCACCGCCATAATAGCCATTTGTCCCCCTTCCCAGCATAATGTAATGCACTCGGTCATCACACTTTGTCCTTCTATCTGAGACAGTTATTCCCTCTTACATCTTGCACGGCCTTGATGTTTTTCATTTTTATTTTTATTAGTACTGCACATTTGCAGTACATGATAATTGCATCCATCATGGGGGAGCTGATGCATTACGTGACACATCTTAATCCTTTTTACTTTCTCTTCCCCTCCATCTCCCCTTCCTCTCTCCTCTCAGTGTCCTTGTCCTTGATATTTTTGAAGTGTAACGGCCAGTGGTCTTGTGGACTGTCCTTCAGTTTGGACATCCGTTTTCGGAGAATCTGGTCCAGTCTGCATTGTGAGGGTGGCATCACGTCCTAGGCAGCACAGGATCTTGTGATCTCAGTGCATCTTTCAGCTGGCGGTGTTAGTCGTGAGGGTGGGGTGGCTCCTCCAGGTGTCTTCTTTCCCCTTTGTGCTTAGTAAGTGGCCCGAAGGGAAGCATTTGGAGCCTGTGTAAATATCCTGTCCCATAGCACAGTTACTTTGTGGTTTTAGCATCTAGACACCGTCATGCCACATTGAGTTGTTGCTGTGGTGGCTGCTGCATAATGTTTTTCTGCATTGATCTGTGCAGTACTTGCTGCTTTTGTTGCCTTTTGGGTTGGTGCAGTTCAGTGCCCAAGGCGGGTCCCTTCCTAAAGGCCAGGCCTCTGGAGAGAGTTTAGCAGCAAGTACTATGAACTTTAAAGAGTTCCTGCCCTTTGACCTGGTGACCCCAGTTCTAGGGTTTTTGTCAGTCCTCGTGCTGTTATAAGTAATATGTGAAATGATGGTGTTGGAGAGAAATCTTCCAAATTTGGGATCCCTGAAGGAGAAAAGAAATCAAAGACATTCCTGGAAGCAGGCAAGAAGCTGTCTGGATGCTTGGGGCTCTGGACCTGAGACTGGTATGGCACAGGCTCCCGAGGGGCAAACGGCCTGCCTTCCTGTGCGTCCCCATACAGTGGAGTCCCCAGAGAGGGAGGGTTGGGGCTGGCGCTTACTCTGGTCATCCTCGAGCAGGTGTCAGGAGGGAGCCTAGGCGAAAGTGGCTGTGGGTCCCTCAGGGCCGGCTGTGGCAGCCCCGCCTAGCAAGGGCTCCTCCTTCCCCAGGTCCTGGCTCCCCCTTCTCTGTGTGTGCAGAACTGGATGGGGTGGTGTGCCCCGCAGGCACTGCGGACACCAAAGTGGAGGCCGAGCAGCAGGCAGCACTCTCTGCCCTGTGCTACATCCGCAGTCAGCTGCAGAGCCCAGGTGACCCAGTCCCCAGCAGCACGCACAGGGTCTCGGGTTAAGAGGAGGCTGGGGAAGTGGGCTGAGCCCTGCTTGGGGTCCTTGGAAGTCCCACACACACTAGGACCAGCCAGTGGTGCAGCTTGGCGACCTTTCTGTCTGCCAGTGGCAGCTCTCCTCCTCCTCTCCTTGGCTTCTGGAAGGGCGGGAGGTCAGGCCCAGCACCCATGACAACCAGCTCCCTTCGCCTCTCTTTCAGAGCCCCTCGAGAGCCTCCGCCAGCCTCCGCTCACCGCCCCAAGTGCAGGTAGGCTGGCTCTCGGCCCAAGCCCCAGATGCGGGGAGGCAGGCAAGTGTGGTGGACCCCATCGCTGCCCTTCGGCCCTTGTGCAGAGAACACCCTGTCCCATGAGCAGCGCTGTGCAGCCGTGGTCAGTGCTGGCTTGGACCGCCTGCTGGGCAAAGACTCACCCTACCGGGACTGCGTGGGGACAGTGGCCGCAGTCATCCTGGAGCGTGGTAGGGTTCATCCTGTCCCTGCCCCACCTTGGCCGGCCCCCTGCCCTGGGCTGAGCCTTCTCTGCCTCCTCCCTGCAGAGCTCCCGGGTGCCAAAGGCCACACCAAGGAGATCTATGAGCTGGTGGCACTGGGCACAGGAAGTGGCACCTGTGCCAGCTGGCTGGAGTTCTCGGGCCGGCAGTTGCACGACTGTCACGGTCTGGTCATCGCCCGCCGGGCCCTGATAAGGTGAGGGCGTGCAGGGCAGGCTCTGCCACAGCCCTGAGGAGACAGCGGTCCCAGCTCGCTCTCTGCCTGTCACTCTAGGTTCTTCTTCCGGCAGCTGCTGCTGGCCACGAAGGGAGGCCCCGAAGGCAACGAGCGCTCTGTGCTGGCCCCCCAGCCTGGGCCCGGGCCCCCCTTTGCCCTCAAGCCCCAGATCTTCCTGCACCTGTACGTCAGCAACACTCCCAAGGGAGCAGCCCACGACATCTCGTATGTGGGGTCCCCAAGGCTAGGGCCCTGCAGCTTGGTTGTCTGAAGAATCACGGTCAGAAAACGCCCTGTCCTCCGCAGCCTCCCGCTGTCCTCGGAAGATGGTCTGCCCAGCTCCTCCTTCCGCCTCCAGGCCCACATTGGCCGGCAGTTGAAGCCGGTGTCCTATGTGGCACACACGCTCCGCCACACGCACGTGGGCTGCCTGTCGGCCAGCGACAAGCTGGCGCGCTGGGCAGTGCTGGGGCTGGGCGGCGCCCTGCTAGCCCACTTCCTGCCACCGCTCTATGCCACCAGTCTCGTCCTGGGTAAGCGGTGGGAGGGGCGTCGGGGGCTCTGCAGACTTGGGGGTGGCCCTGACTCACACTGTGTCTTGTGCCTCTGCCCCCAGCTGACCCCTGCCACGACCCCCCGACTCTGAGCAGGGCCATTCACGACCGGCCCCACCTAGACAGCACCTCAGGGTCCTGCCTGCCGCCTCCCTACGTCCGCACCACCCTGCACCTATTTTCAGGCCCCTCCGTGGCCCCCTCCAACCCTGTCTCCAACACCTCCCCCGGCCTGAGCCTCAACTGGAGCCTGGGGGACCCCGACGTGGAAGTTGTGGATGTGGCTACTGGCCACGTGCAGGCCAAGTGAGAAAGGCGCTGTGGAGCTGGATTGAGGGAGGTCCAGGTTGGGGTCCCCACTCCCCATGGGGCAGTGAGAGCATGTGTAGTTCTCAGCTTGGCTCAGCCCCTCACAGGTGGTGGCAGTGGCCAGTTCCCCACGGCTAGTGATATTGTCATGTAAGAGTGAAGAGTGGGCCAGGCCTGCTGTGATCGTCCCTTGACCTCTTCATGTTCCCCTGACCTATACATGTCCTCTCAGGGCCACCCCGGGGCCTCCTTCCCGCCTCTGTAAGGCCGCCTTCCTGAGGGCCTTCCGCCAGGCTGCTGATGCTCTGGGCAAGCCCCATCTCCTGGCCCTGAAGACCTACGAGGCTGCCAAGGTGGGTCTGCTTCGCCCTGCTCCCTGGCAGGGGTCAGACCCCCTGTGCCCCCACAAGCACCCTCTCACCTCTCCTGATCTCTCTGCCAGGTTGGACCCTACCAGGAGGCTCGCCAGCAGCTGTCCTTCCTCCTGGACCAGCAGGGCCTGGGCTCTTGGCCCTCCAAGCTACTGGTGGGCAAATTCGGGAGCTGAGCTAGACTCAGGGGGCTGAGATCCTTGCAGAGCTGCAACCCCACAAAAGGCCCTTTGGGACAGGGAGGGCAGGGGATATGCCGGGTGAATTGGGGCAGGGCTGCAGGGGGTGGGCTGCTGCCTATTTGGGCTTGAATAAAGAAAAGGTTTCTGCTGTTTCTGGATGTGTGCAGTTAATGGGGAGCCAGAGTCCAGTTGGTGTGGGAGGCGAGTCTTTCACCCCTCTTTGAGAAGCCTCACGTCTGCTGGGTTCACACCTGGATCCTCTTGTAAGACCTAAAGTCTCACTTCCACTCCAAGGAGCATGAACAGCTGAAAGGGCCTTTGCGATGCTGAGACCTGTAGCCCAACAATGGCTCCGGATGCAAGACCCAGGTCCTTACTTCCGGGAGCCTTGAACAGCCCAGAGGGCCTCCACGAGCCTGGGACCTATAGCTCAGCGAGGCTCCGGGAACTCATCGGAGGAACGAGAGTCACCCAGGAAGGAACACACCAGGCTCGTTGGTAAACAGACCTTTATTAGTCTGGCCAGACAGCACTCCCAGAACTGAGCAGCTCAGAAGGCCCAGCACAGGGGTTAGCACAGTTTTTTAAAGGCAGGCGAAGAGGATTGCAAGCACGGCAAGTGGGCCAGGGGTCAGGGGGTCAGTTCTCTGCCATCTATCTAAAGGAGTCGGCTATACGGTGCACCTGGCCTTTCATCTCCAGACTCAGGCTGTTCTGTTCTAACGAGGCCTTGAGTCGCTGTCTTGTTTGCCCGTGCCAGGCTTCCATACACTGTTTTAATCTTATCTTGGAGCCGGGTACAAAGAAATGTGTGCTGCTATGTGCTGGCTAACTAGGGGTTACATAGCGGTTAGGGTCCCACACTCTGCTCACAGTCACTGTATTGTTTCAGGCCCTGGTTGACACTGTTGGAAGCAGCTTGGAGAAAGGTGGGTTCCCTGCCTTCCGCTTGTGTACAGGGCCATGGTGGGGCCCTGGCTGCTTCCGGCAGCATGGGTGTGGGGCCACTCGATACTATGGAGACTCTGATTTGTCTTTTTGCAGGGCTTGGACCTGGGGCAGCAGCAAGGGACAGGAGGTCCCTTAGGCCTATGGAGGAAGCTCTGTGGGTCTGAGCCGCCCCAGGCTGAAGGGTGTAGGCTGGGCAGTGGCTTCGACAGCTCTTACCCCAGACCACCCAGCTGTTGGAACTGGGAAAATCCTGTGGCTTCCAGAGCCTGCTTGCTCCTCTGGGCAAGGGACAGTGCTGCTGCAGCTCCAGCTCTGCACTTCTTCCTCCCTCTTCTCTGGGGGCCTGGCGAGCCAGGAGGGTGATGGGTGGTCTGCAGCCCCCGCTGGGGTGGACGAGGGTGTCAAGTGTAGGTGTGTGTGCACACAGCTCTGCAAGCCTGCAACCCCACCAGCCTCGAGCACAGCAGCTTTGAAATCCTTGGCCCTGCGGGTAAGGGAGTTGGCCAATCCTGAGCCCCAACTCTGCAGTCTAAGGCTCCCTGGTCCCCAGTAGCTACAGGGTTCAGAACCACATGATGCAGATGGAGACAGGCCTTGAAAAGCCATCTGTCTCTGATTCCATGTGTCAGCATGACTAGGCCAAGTGCTCCCACAGCATCACTGCCGCGGGGGCCTGGGAGGTGTCTCCAGAAGACAGCAGCATGTACATCGGCAGACGGGGTAAAGAAAATAGCTGTCCCCAATGTGACTGGCACTGTGCAACCTGCCGAGAACTGGGATAGACCAAAAGGTGGAGGAAGCGTGAATCCACTCCCGCCCCTGGATCTCAGAACTCCTGGTACTTGGGCCTTCAGCCTGGAACCAGAGCACCCACACCAGTCCCTGGGTACTCAGGCCTTGGGGTTAGGACTGAGATGATATGCCCAGTATTCTGGACTGCCAGCATTCAGCCCGAAAGTCATGGGACTCCTCAGCCTCCAATGGTGTGAGCTGACCCTCATAATAAATCTTTCTGTGGATCTCCGTGCATCCTATTGGTTCTGTTTCTGTGGAGAACCTTACCTAAGACAAAAGGCTCCCTGAGAGCTATCACATAGGTCCAGGTCAGTTCTGACATGGAGCCCAAGTTCGGATCCCCTCACTCCAGCCTGTCCCTGCCCCTGGCTGAGTGGCTGTGGTCAGCCACTTAAGCTCCAGGCACGCGGCACAGTCATCTAGAGAAACATGGTGTCTGTGTATCCACAGGTCTTATGTTCACAGAAACAACCAAAAGCCACACGGAAAATACTCAGAAAAAGTGCATTGTTACAGCAGGTACACAGACTTTTTCTTGTCAAACAGCACAGTGTGTCAGCTATGCTGTCGTAGGTAATATAGGTAATCCTAAGATGACACGTATTTGGGAATGGCTGGGGTATAGCTCAGTGATTTCTGGTTCCATTCCTCATACCTCAAAAACAAAAAACAGGAGGATGTGCAGGAGATACTGCAACATGCACCATTTTATGTAAAGGACTAGCAATCCTCAGACTTTGGTATTTTCAGAGGTTGTGGGCCCCATCTGGAGTGGCAGTGAGGGAGGACAAATCCAAAGCCTGGCCTAGCCCTGCTGGCCCTTCCTACAGCACCACAGCTGCTGCCATGTGGGATATATCTGTTAGCTTTCATGTTACTGGGACAAAATACCAGGTACCCACACCTTGGAGCAGTAGTAGTTTAACTAGGCTCGTGGTTCCAGCAGGAGGAGCATTCAAAGGTCTCAGTCCATGGTCGGCTGGTTCACAGCAGGACCATCACGGTGGAAGAGAGGGGTACAGGAAAGTTGCTCACCACATGACAGCTGGGAAATGGCAGGAGAAAAGCACCAGCAGGAGCATTACCTCTCCAGGCCCAAGGCCCTCCCCAAGCTGGTCGATGAAACCTCCCTACACTTGCATGAGAGGTGTGACTACAGCCCTGTTGTACAGGTGAGGAAACTGCAGGGTGCGGCTGGGAACCTTTTGGAAGTACACAGCCCCAGCTGTTTGAGGTCTGAACCCCCTGTTTCCCTACCTCTGTCATTGCCTGGGCTGCTTTTGGATTCCCTTCCATGACCTTGGATATAACTACCTCTCTGAGTCCCAATTTACTGATTTATAAAAGGAGGACTGGGCGATGTCCTTGCTGAGGTCTTTTTCGGGCTTAGCTACTCTCTGCTCTACCCTTTCCTGAAAGTCACAGGAGGCCAGGAAGAGGCCAGCTGCCACCCAGGGAGGGAGCTGCAGGCTAGCAGGCTGTGGAGGTAGCATCAGAGCTAGGACTCTGTCACTGGGGTGAGAAAATAGGTGTTGGGAGGGCAGGACAGAGGATTCCAGCAGGAGGAGCATCCAAAGGGAATGTTTAGGGCTCCCAGGGGAAGGATGGGTGACTTCTTGCCAAGGATGGGTGACTTCTTGCCAAGGGAGAGACAAGGAGGAGGGAGGTTCGAACCAGCTTTAGGTATTGTTTCTAAAAAACTGGGCCAACTTTGAAATAATTATATCTCGTGGTTATAATTTTTCAGTTTTTGAAACACCCAAGCCCATCAATTAGTCCATTCCTTACCCATCGGTTACCCCAGGAGAGAATTGAAATTGGCTGACTGTTCGTACTGCAATGGTGAAGAGATGCACCAGCCATCAGACTTCAGCTTGGTGCCGTGAGCTTTGTGGTGTTCATCAGTCAAGTTACATGAAATGACATTAACTCTGCTCTGTGCTCTGCCAAATAAGTATGATGTGTCCCCAGGCTGCAGATGTCCGGCCGTCCAGTCTTTTCCTCCCCAGACAGTCTTCATTCCACAGCGTGTGCTTGTTTCTTTGACTCTCAGCTCTGTTGTAGTAGGTGATGATGAACGCCACTTCTGCAGTGGAGAGCCTGTTAACGTCTTCTTGGCCTAATCCCCTCTGGGGGACTTTTTGCCAACCGTAGCATCTTTAAATTAGGAGGCCAAGTGACCTAGTGTGGCACTCAGGAGCACTGCTTCCGCGGGCACCTCCCTGCCCCCAGCCTTCCTCCTCTGTGGCCTGGGGCTCTGGAGTCTTGGCTGGACCCCAGCACTTTGGACTTTATAGTCCCCAGTGTCCCCAAGTGGAAGGATGGACCCAGGAGACCAGGGGGCCATCATCTCTGTTTCCCCATCCAGCAAGTGAGTGAGGGTCATTCGCAAACATGCAGGCTGCAGGGTCGCAGTGACCTTCAGTGGGAAGTGGGGTGGGCCTGTTCCTGGCTCCCAGAAGCCCACAGGCAGTGGCTGTCATTGGGCCCATCTGCCATCAGCCCCAGGTGAGATACTGTTTGCTCCTCTCCATCCCCTCTTGTCGGGGCTCCCACATCAAAGTGCCTGATAGACAGGCGTGAGTGGGAATTAGCACACGGCGGCACGTCCTTACAGAAGGGGTGGGACAGAATAGAACCCTCTCCTAAGTTACCGGCTTTGAAACTGCCTCTCCCACAGAAGCAGTCAGTAAAGACCTACTGAGGGCTGAGGATGTAGCTCAATGGTACAGTGCCTGCCTGGCAAGCACAAGGTCCTGAGTTCGATCCCTGGTACCACAAATAAATAACCCCACCGCGAAGACAGAGTCCAGAGAAGAGGGTCTGAAGAATTACCATCCTGCTCCACAGTGTAGGAAACTGGCACTTAAAAATATAAAATATGGTTTTAAAGAATACTCCCAGAAAATCCACTTTCCTGGGTTCCCCCTTGAGAGTGTGGGGATGGACTCTTCTTCACACACCGTCCACAAATCAGCCCAACTCAGGTCATATGCTGAACATTAGAAGAAAAGACAGAAGAAGAAAACTTCATGACCTTGAATTAGACACAGCTTTCTTTGACATGGCACCAAAAGCAGACACGAAAGAAGGAAAAGTAGAAATAAACGGATTCCATGACATTTTAAACTTTCCTATTCATTCAAAGGACCAGGAAAGGAGAAAGACAATTCACAGGGTGGGGGAAATAGACTTGCAGACTATCTGTCTGTTAAAGGATTTGTATTTATAATTTATAAACGACACAACCCAGTTAAGAGGTGAAGGGTCTGAATAAACACTTTTTTTCCCCATTAGACACTGAAAGGGCAGCACGCTCTGGCAAAGAAGCTCCTTATCAATAGCCTTCAAGGGATGCAAATCAAACCCCACCGATCGTTCCAATCAAAGGGACCAAAGGAAACAGCAGTGGTGAGGAGATGAAGCCCTTGAACCTTCACCCTGCTCACAGGACAGGAAACGACACAGCCTGGCCACAAAAACCTTTGGCCGTTCCTCAAAGTGGTTAATAATCCCACTTCTAGCTGTCGTCCTCAGAGAATGCATCCTTCTCTCAAAAACCTGAACACAAAAGTTGACAGCAGCATTATCATAATATCCCCAAAGTGGAAACTGCCCAAACGCCCACCAGCTGAGGACTGGGTGAGCCACAAGTGGCTGTCTGTACGGTGGAATGGTAAATGAACCCTGCAATCGTGATGCTAAGTAAAACAAGGCTGTCAGCCATGGGATTCTGTTTACGTGAGATGTTCAGAACAGGCGAATCTGTGGGCAGGAAGTAGATTTGTGGCTGCCTGGGCTGGGGGATGGATAATGGAGGGTGTGTGAGTATGGGATTTCATCTGGAGTGATGAAAACAGTCTCAAACTGAATATGGTGACAGGTGCATCCTCCGTAAGTTTAATAAAGACTGCTAGGTTGCACCCTGGGGTGAAACATACGGTATGTGGATTCTATGTCAGAAAATCAGTTACAGGAAATATTTTTTAAAACTTAGTGTTTTCGTACCTCAGGGTTGACTGTACTGCTGTCTGAAAGACCCATTTTCCACTGATGTCCCCGTGTTCACGGCGGGCGCCTGTTGGGGTGCTGTGATGCACACAGCCAAGTCCTTTGGTTCCCAGGAGGCTCTTCCTCACCAGGCTGTGGCAGGGTGTGTGTGTGTCACCCCCCGCACCTCTAGGGGAGGTGGCCTCCTCTTTTTATCTTTTATTTTCATTTTTGCAGAACTAGGGATTGAATCCAGGGCCTTTGTGCTGAGCTATGTCCCCAGCCCTTTTTATTTCTTGAGACAGGGTCTTGTTAAGTAGCTAAGTCACCAGGCTGGGCTTGAACTTGCAATCCTACTGCCTCAGCCTCCCA